GATCTGGATGGTGAGGCAGAGTGCACCCTCAGCAAGTTTGTTAACAACACCAGACTGGGAGGAGTGGCTGATAGGCCAGAGGGTCTTGCTGCCATCCAGAGGGACATCGAGAGGCTGGAGAAATGGGCCAACAGGAACCTCATGAAGTACAACAAGGAGAAGTGCAAAGTCCTGCACCTGAGGAGGAACAACCCCAGGCACCAGGAGGACCCCTTTGCAGAAAAGGACCTGGCAGTCCTGGTGGACATGAGGTTGAGCATGAGCCAGCAATGTGCCCTTGCTGCAAAGAATGCTGCCAGCAGGTCAATGGAGGGGATCCTTCCCCTCTCTCAGCACTGGTGAGACCACACCTGGAGAGCTATGTCCAGTGCTGGGCTCCTCAGTGCAAGAGAGACATGGACATATTGGAGAGAGTCCAATGAACGGCCACAAAGATGATGAAGGGACTGGAGTGTGTCTCCTGTGAGGAAAGGCTGAGGGAGCTGGGACTGTTTAGCACAGAGAAGAGAAGGCTGGGGAGGGAATCTTATTCATGTCTACAAATACCTGATGGGAGGGTACAAAGAGGACGGAGCCAGGCTCTTTCCAGTGGTGCCCAGTGACAGGACAAGAGGCAGTGGGCACAAACCGCAACACAGGAGGCTCCGTCTAAACATCAGGAAACACTTTCCTACTGTGAGTGTGACCAAGCACTGGAACAGGCTGCCCAGAAAGCTTGGGGAGACTCCCTCTGTGGAGATATTCAAAAGCCATCTGGACATGGTCCTTGGCAACTGTCTCTAGTTGGCCCTGCTTGAGCAGGGTGATTGGACCAGCTGACCTCCAGACGTCCCTTCCAACCTCAACCATTCTGCAATTCTATGCTTCTGTGATCATGTAATTCTGTGATTACACACAGTTGCTTTGCCTGTCTAGCGAGTGCAAGGGTTCTATTCTGGAGACTTCCTTAGGTTGCTTACAGAAGGCTTTGTCCATTTTCTCACCCTGACTGAGTGGTTCTAGCTCCCACCATGATGTCACCTTCAGGGGAGTCTCCTGTATTTCTCGCCCACAAATGCTCACTCAACCTGCCGTCTGAGCCATGGAGAGCTCCATACATTTGAGCTTCCCCAGCTCACAGAGGGTATCCCCCAGCCTCATTCTCTCACTGTCCCCAACCCCACCCAGTGTCTCCTAAAGAGCTTGTATCTATCCATCACAGCACCCAAAGCTGTGCAAGCTGTCACAGCCATGGTTCCCTCAGCAGTGATGGCATGAGGAGCTCCAGGTCCTTCTGCCCGTGTCTGAGGATGAGGGTATTGGTGCATACCTGGGTAGCAGCAGCTCAGCAAAGTCTTCTCATGGGGAAAATTGGAACCAAGCACCCAGGACCCCATGTATGCAAAGGCTTTACTTCAGAACAAAGACATGCTGGAATGGATTGCAGGTGGTAATGTGCTGATGAAATGAGATATCCATGAAGACAACAAACCCTGCAGTCCCCAAGGCCAGAGGAAATCAGGCCTGGGCTGTGCAGCCCTTGCAAGAGAGGAGTTTGCTGCCTGAGGTGACTTCTGCAGCACCTTGTGCCGATTTCCAGGAACATAAGGTACCACTGAGAAAGTCCCTGGGTGAGGTAAGCTTGTGATCCAGCCACACTGTGGACATCAGTGGCACGTTTTTTCTTTATATCATCAGGCAGCTGTGTAAGGGAAAAGAGAACCATCATGGGTTGAGAGCATAGTGGCACAAGTGGAGACCCTGGTGTGATGTCCTCCTAATCCTGCAGCACCTCTGGGTGTAGATGGGATGGATCTTGCCTCCATGCTGTGGTGCTGGTGTCCAGGTGTTCACACACAGGCACTGGACTCCTTTGGGAGGCCCTGGGATATCTGCCCTGCACCAGCTCCAACAGAGCACAGATTCCCTGGATGTCCTGTGCAGTATTTGTCAGTCATGTGCTTGCACTGGGTGCCCCAGGCACCTGGCATGGCACTAGAAGCCTTTCTTACGACATTGAAATTAGAACCCTGAATTAATGTAGGTGCTTGCAGTGCAGGGATGTGTACATGTCTTAGTTCTGTAGTGAGCTGAGTTCTAGTGAATGCGATGGACAGAGGCAGGAGAGAGAACTGACCCTCCTTCTGGTGCACTTCCCCATTTGGTTAGCTGAACGCCCAGCTGCCAACAGGGAAATGTGTCTAATAGGCATTCAGATGCTCTAAATGTTTGGTTTAATCTGAGGTGACCAAAGATGCCCCTCCCCACTGCCCTGCAGCTGATGCTCAGGCAGGATTTGGGTTTCTCACATGCTCTGCAAGAGTCGTAGGTGCTCCAAATGCCACCTCATGTGTGAGTAGCTGACTGCCACCCTCCATCCCACTGGTCACAGTGAGAGTTCAGGGAAGGGACTGGCCTGCAGGCACCTGTTTTGTGCACACCTGAACTGGAGCAAGAAGAATGCCAGATCCTGTCAGTCTGGAGATATGAGTCCCTCTTCAGCCTCAGGGCTTCTAACCAGAGATGAGATACCTGCATGGACTTGGGTGAATGCTTGCCTTACACAAGGGGAAATGATCCCTGGCTGTCACTGCTGAGGTGTCCTGTCTGGCAATAGGACAGGGATAGGGGCTAAGGGAGGGGAAAATTTCCTCCTCTCATAGATCACCACGTTCTGGTAGGACAAATCACTCTTACAAAATCAGTCTCTCCAACGTTCAGAGGGGAACATTCAGTGATTACTTCAGTCTGTTTCAACCTACACACCCCAGGAGGGACCCTGCTGCATTTCAGGAGCTGTCAGCCCTGGAGCTCTGGAAACATCTCAAGGGAGACTAGTGGTGGGCACGGAAAGTGGTGCCTTGGGCTGGTGCTCTGCTGGGACAGAGGGAGCTCATGGCAAGCATGCAGCACTGCAGGGAGACATCTCTGCCTTGGAGCAGCTCCTCTGCAAAGTGCAGCAGAGCTGAGGGCACTGCCTGCAGACACCAAGGGGAGATGAACAAGGCAGAAAGGTTAAAAAGTCCGGTGTGGGAGGACAGAGGAAAACTTACTGGGGTACAAATCTTCTCAGCCCTTTACACGGTAAGTCTCTGGCTGCAGGGCAATGCAGATAAGTATCTTGGAAGTATCTATTAGACCTGGCACATATCGTGGTTTGTGCAGAGGAGGAGAAGGTGCTCCTGAGCAGGGTTTCCCTGCCACGCTGTCAAAGGACAGGGCATGACATCTCCCTTTTGCCAAGGATGGCTGCAAGGGTGTGAAGCCAGGTGTGCACCCAGGAGTGCCCAGGGCTGTTCTTCAGGGCAGGGTCCCTGCACCCCAGGGAGCTGTGTACCAGGGCAGGGACTCTGTCACCTGCCAGGGTCAGCACTCAGCCTGCCTGGGGAGCTCCCCACAGCAGTGCGGGAAGAAGCTCTGGGTGGAAGAAGCAGCCCATTTCAGGGCAGGTCCTGCTTTTGGGAGGGTGCTGTGTGGGTCAGGGCTGCTCACACATGCAGATCACCTCTAGGGCATCTCTAGCATAGACTTTTCAAGAGGAAGCTCAATGCAGGGATTATTGTAAAGATAAGGAGCTTTCTTGTGTTTTCATTTTCTTGCTCTAGGGGTAGTGGGGTGTGGGGAAGGGAGAGATGGAAAAGGAGTTCTGAAGTTTGAACAAGCCACTGAGACACCTGATCTGTAACTTTAAGTGGTCAGCAGGTCTGCTAGGAGCCTTGTAAAGTGCCTTCAGCTAGTCCTCTGCCTGTGGACAGCGTTAGCATCACCTTTGCTGGACCTTTCAGGATTGTTCTGACCTGCCCTTTTCCGCCTGCAAACAGGAACATGTGCCTAGCCAGCGCCCTGCAAAGAGGCAGGTTTCTGTAGGGCCAAGGTGAGGCACGAAGTTTGGGATGGGGCCTGTTAGCACTGACAGGGAAAAGACATGGGACAGGGAAACTCCTCCCAAGAGGAAAATCTCCAGGTAGCAGGGATATGATCAAGGAATGAGAGGAAACTAAAAACAGAAAAGTTGTGGGAGGGAGAATTCAGAAAACTTTTTGTGAACCCCTTCAATGCACACATCTTCCTCTGAGCAAGCCCCCTTGCCTCCTCTTCCACCCAGTAAAGCCTCTGCCCTCAGGGCTGTGGGGTCTAAGGCTTGAACCACCTTCTCTGCAGCCAGAGCTCCAGAAGAGCAGTGGTGCATCTCTCCAGCCACGTGCCCATTTCTGTCTGCAGAGCAAAGGGACTGAGTGCAACTGCCTGGCAATGTTGATGCCTGGGATGTAGCATGAACAGCTAGGTAAGGAAAACACTTTCCTGTGTGCCTCCCCTCCTCTCCACTCCCTTCCCCTCCCCTCTTCTCCTCTCCTTTCATCTCCTCTCCCAGCTAGACTGTTAACGTATTTTCCCTCGTTTCCCCACTTGACAGTGTTATTTTTATAGTTATCTTGTTCTTGCTGTCAGGCTCTCTGGGGATGGGAGTTTCATCTGCAGAGTCAAACACTGATCTTGTGGGGCCTTTCACAAGCAATCCTCTTGCTTTGCAGGACTTGCTCTGTTGTCCCTGAGTGCAGCAGAAACGCTGAGGGTTTCTGACAGGCAAGAACACTCCTCAAGTGTTATGGAGGACAGCTGTAAAAAAACCAACACTCTCAAACTTCCTTTTGCAATCACCGTTACTTAGTAATTGAAGTGCAGATTTTCACAAGCCCTTCTGCATTAGGAGTGGTTTAATCTGAAAAATGTAAACATCAGGACTGGCCCCTGCCCCCACCCTTCCCATGAACCCACTGCTGCAGAGCAGGGCTGACCCCTCTGGAGGCAGCAGGCAGAGGCGTTGCTCCTCATGACACAGCCAGCACAAACCAGAACTCCAGCCATGGAGATGAAGGAAGGTCTCCTAGAAAAGGAAAAGGGGCAGTGTGTAGCAGAGGGAAGGTCTTTGTGAAATGCCTTTGATTTTGCTCAGACAAGACTCTCCTAACTCTTTACTGCCTTTTCCTCCTTGAACAGGGCTGAATGACCAGTGGCAGCAAATGTCCAATGGCAGCTCCATCATGCAGTTCCTCCTCCTGGCATTCACAGACACATGGGAGCTGCAGCTGTTGCACAGAATGCCAGGCTTTTCCTGGACATCTACCTGTCTATCCTCCTGGGCAACAGCCTCATCATCACCGTTGTAGCCTGCAACTACCACCTCCACACACCCATGTACTTCTTCCTCCTCAACCTCTCCCTCCTTGACCTGGGCTCCATCTCTACCATTGTCCTGAAATCCATGGCCAATTCCCTCTGGGAAACAAGGGCCATCTCTTAGCATGTGCTGTCCAGGTCTTTTGCTTTCTCTTCTTAATTGTAGGGGAGTATATTGTCTTCTCACCGTCATGGCCTACGACCGCTACGTTGCCATCTGCAAACCCCTGCACTACGGGACCCTCCTGGGCAGCAGAGCTTGTGCCAAAATGGCAGCAGCTGCCTGGGGCAGTGGTTTCCTCAATGCTGTGCTTCACACTGCCAATACATTTTCAATACCACTCTGCCAAGGCAATGCTGTGGACCAGTTTTTCTGTGAAATCCCCCAGATCCTCAAGCTCTCCTGCTCAGACTCCTACCTCAGGGAAGTTGGGCTTCTTGTGGTTAGTCTTTCTGTAGCTTTAGGGTGTTTTGTTTTCATCGTGCTGTCCTACTTGCAGATCTTCAGGGCTGTGCTGAGGGTCCCCTCTGAGCAGGGACGGCACAAAGCCTTTTCCACGTGCCTCCCTCACTTGGCTGTCGTCTCCGTGTTTATCAGCTCTGGCCTGTTTGCCTACCTGAAGCCCCCTTCCATCTCCTCCCCATCCCTGGATCTGATGGTGACAGTCCTGTACTCAGTGATACCTCCAGCAGTGAACCCCCTCATCTACAGCATGAGGAACCAGGAGCTCAAGTGATAAATTTCCCATCTGTCTCCACAAATGACTCGCAGGGTATCGCATTGCACACCTGTAATTTGGGGGGGTTGTGTTATTGTTATCATCACCATTATACTTATTGTCATTATTGCTATCATTCTCATTTTGTGGTAATTTTTGGTTGTTATGTTCCTACATAAATGTTTGGATTCACCTCGTTTCTACTGAGGAATTAACCTGCTCTGTCACACGTGGAGCCTGTGTCAAAGTGTGTTTAATGCTGGGTCAGAGCTAACCCCTCCTAGCACCTCTGTAATAAAGAGGGATCTCCCAAGCACAGTGCCTGGAGACTCAACTTGTCTTCCAAGGCTGGTGCCAAGAATAGGCATGAGCAACTGCACCCCAAAAGGGCCTGTTGCTCCATGGGTTCAGGAGCAAACAGCTCACTGTCATAGTGTGACCTGTTAGAGATCAAGGGTTGGATTTAGGACTCACCTGTTGGTGTCTGGTGACAGTGATGACGGTGAATGTTCACTCAAGTACATACCCAGGGCTGTCTCACGTGTGACATGCAGATCATGTCCTTAAGCAGGGGAGTCTGGAGCTTCCTGGAGAGCCCAGAGGATCTCCATGTACTGTGTGTGCCTGGGGTGGGCAGTGAATGAAGCCCCACAAAGTGGTGGAGTCACCCAAAGGGAAAGTGCTAAACCCAGGTATCTGCAGGGAAATAAGGACACTGCAATCCCAGAGCAGGCAGTGGGGACCCCACAGGCACAAGGAAGGGAGGCTGGAAAGTGATTTATGTCACCTTCAGGCAACGGCTGAACACATCTCGTGTCCTTGGAAGTACACCATAGTCCCTTAAACCACCTGCCATATCCACAGATCTCCTGGGAAGGGGGATTAGCAGCAGTGACCCCCATCCAGCTTGGGGCCATATGAGGAGTATCAGGAGGGGGCCAGGAATGTCCAGCCAAATCAGAGGATGGATGGGAAGAGATCAGATGGGGGGTGACCTGTTCTAGAAATTGCCTTAAATAGAAAAATGCTGGTGTTCAGCTAATCCAAGGCAAAGTCCGGACTTTAGGGTACCCTTAAACGTCTCAGACATGCATTTGTAAAGTTGATTTTCTCACTATGGGAGGCTGAACATGCTATGTTTTTTCAGTCAGGAGAAAAGAAGGCTTTGGGGAGACCATATAACATCCTTCCCACACCTACCAGGAGGTAACCAGGAAGGATTATGCTCCTCACTGCTGTACATGACTGGGGGATGAGGGCCAATGTGCAGTGAGAAGGTTTCCCAGAATTGGTGCCATCTCTGTCTTTGGAGGTTTTCAGGCCCAAAATGAATAAATTCCTGTCAAAACTGCTGTGACCTGATAGCTGACCCTGCTGTGAGCAGGAGGTTGGACTAGAGACCTCCTGAGATCACTTCCAGCCCAAGCAAATCTGTGTTTTCATCCACTATGGATCTTCCCTTGATGCTGGTATTCAAAGCACTCAGACTCCCCACTCGCCACTGACCATGGAAATAAGTCAGGCGTAAATATGCTCAGATCAAGTGCAGCTTTCTTGTCCCACTCCAGTCAGTCTTTCTTGGGTGAAGGGCTGCTTGGCAGGTACCCCAGAACAGTCTTGATCATATCCTTGGCTTCACCTTGTATTTTCTTTTTCCATGTTTTGCCCTTCCCAAGTTCTTCCCTTTGATCATCCTCATGCCCTCCTGTACAATCAGCACACCTCTGCTTACCCTTTCCTCATTGAACCTGGTTTTGCTTGCATTGTACCTTCATTTGGTGTTTCTGGCATGGTCACCATGGTAATACCTACTACCTTGGGCAGCAATTTCATTTAACTAGTATCTATCTCCATCTTCATCTAGACGTTAATAGCTGACACAATGGAGCTTCAGTCCAACCAGACCTTGAGAAATGGATTTGGTCAATAGAAACCTCTAGACGTTTCCCAAGGAGAAGGGATCTTCTGATGTTCTGCGCCAGGGGGCAGAACAACCCCGTACATCAAGGCAGACTCAGACCTGACTGGGTGAGGAGCAACCTCAAGGACCATGGGCATTACGAGGGATGCCATACAAGTCAGTGGTGCTAAATGTGAATATGGCCATGTGCCTATCGGGCTGCACTGGGAGGAGCATGGCCACCCAGACAAGGGGAGGTATTCCCCTTGACTTGGCACTCGTGTGGCCACATCTGGAATAGTGTGTCCTGGTGTGGGGCTCCCGTTCAGGAGGAGTGTGGAGGAATTGGAGAGGGTCCAGAGGAGATCTGCCAAGATGGGTTTGGGGGCCATGTATGGAAAGGCTGAGAGAGGCTGAGGAAAGGCTTCTTAGACCTGTTGAAACAGAGGCTCAGGGTAGTGTAGTAGTAGCTTGAGGAAGCTTGAAAGTTGCTCACAGAGATGACTGCATGTTTTTCTGGCAGTGAGAAAGAGTATGAGGAAGGAAAACCACCAGGAACTGCAGCTTTGGAAATCCAGACTGAACAGGAGGAGGAAGAAATGTCATTCAAAAGGTAGTGCTGTGCTGCTACAGGTGACTGAGAGGGAATCTGGGATCAGCCCATTGCTTTGTATTTCAAGGAACAGCCAGTGAGGATGGAGAGAAATCAGTGAAGGTAAGGATGGGTGCTGGGGTGAGAGCAAGGTGAGGAAGTGGGTGGGTTGTCTACAGCCTGCAGGGAAACAGGCACAGGTGTGGGACAGTGTAGGACAGCATAGGACAGCCTGCAGTGGAGATGGCCGAGGGTGCTGGCAAGGCTGGAGGGCTCCAGCAGAACCGAGGTCTTTGTCCCCTTGGCTATGGCTGATGTCTCTGCCACCAAGGCCTATGATGAAACACATTGTTCTCATGGCACTGGAGCCTCATTTCCTCCTTGAATCCCTCAGGGAGTCTGGGAGGTGTCATACCTTTGTCCTTCATTTGGCATCACAAAGCCCATATCCTACTGCCCCAGGAAGCCCGAGCCATGCGTGAGGACAGGATCTCCCTTCCCCAAGCTGGGGGTGGTCAGGGCTTGGCATTTGGCTTGATAAATATATGAAGGCTTTACTCAGCATCAGAGCCACCTGCACAGTGCCTCTGCCCACGTCTCACCACTGCCTCCAATTTTCTGTACTGATGAGTCCATGGGGAGACTTTGTCAGTAATGGCCCTCAGTGGGGACAATTAATACTCCAAGAAACTTCAGCATTTCCTTCTGACTTTGCCTTCTCAAGCAGTTTGTTAAATCTCCTCTCAGTATCTGAGATTCATGGATTTAGGACCAAATACACCACGGGGCTCATTACAATCCCATAATTTTCTTCAAGTCTTCAAGACTTGTACAGCTAATTGGAGAGGCTTCAGGAGAGTAGTGAATGATGAAGATTTCAATGACCATTTAATAAGAAAAGATTTTTGCTTTTTAAGGGTATTTTTATAATTTTCACTTTACAGAAGTGATAGCAGCATGCTCCAACTGATATTTATCCAGAGGGTCTCCTAAGGAGGTCTGGGTGGGCAGGAAAAGCAGTCTCCTTGAGGCCAGACACTATCAACAAACTTCCTCCTCACTTTCCCAACCCCACCATTTTTGTCATCTGCCCCCTGGGACTTGCATCACTTTTCCTTACATTGGACTTTTCCACTGAAGTCTGCAGCTTCAGTGTGATGCTTCAGCTCCTTTTCACCAACTCCCACATGCTTTCCTCAGCGAACTGCCTGCACACAGGCACAGAAGGATTCCTCGTCATTGTTAACAAACAAAAGTTACACACAATACAATTTAATGAACAGTAAAACGCTCCTTAACTGTATGCTAAGTCCCAGCTGCATCTAATGATGTCTACCTTCCACAAGGGATAGCCGTACAAGAACTTTTTTAGGCAAGGAGATAGGAAAGGCTAGATACAAACATAATGGAGTAGATTAAAGAGTAAATTAGGCTTCTGAGAGATAGGGCAAGCTTCTAACTCCCTGAAGCTCAAAGCAGCAACCAGTTGGGAGATGTCCGAATGAACAAAAAGGAAGGGGAAGAGGAAATCTGGAAAGCAATGGGAAGGGCACATGTCCAGATAGTCTGCTGAAAAGATGCCCTCTTACATATGGTCCTTTAATCAGGACAGGTGGGAACACCTGAAAGATGAGGTAGATTAAATATGCAGCGTAACAGCAGAGTACTGGTAGTGCAAGTACAGGGGGAGATCAATATTTCTTCTCCTATGATTAATACACTTCCTGGAAATTCCCATTCTGGCATGGTGGAAAAACATTGCCATTTTATTAAAAGTACTCAATTGTTTCAGCTGATGAATATGTATTCAAATTCTTTTAAACATTGAAAAAAGTTATTCACCTTTCCAGGCAGACCTCAGCTGTCTGACCATAAACATCCGGTGCCACTTTTCGGGGCCCCAGTGTACCTTAGATGTTTTCCTGGGACTGGCAACTATCACAGAGGACCTGTGGGAGACCAGAGCCCTTCAGGAGCTGCAGGTGCAGCCTGGGCAGAGGGTCCCAGGGCATCGATGCTGGCACCAGGTGTCTGAGTTCCTGTAACTGAAGACATTTGTGTCCCACATCCAAACTCGGTTCTGAACACCTTTCTTTTTCAAAGAAAGAAAAAAGACACACAATTCCCCCAAAGACCAGTGTATTAAAACAACAGAAAACAAAACAATTTTAAAAGCTTTGATTTAGATCACATATTTGTTTCATTTTTATTGACATTAATTAGTGTATGTCAGGCTAACAGCATTAAGAGAAGATTATTTTGTGTCTTACACAGAGCCCCATGCCCCCAAAACAGTCCCTGCCCAGGACTGTCCATGACACTCCTCAGTCAGACACTCACACTGAGGTGTCGACCTCTCTTCACTGGTTTAGGTGTTGTTTCAGATGGTCACATACAGCATAGGCAGATTCATGCCCCATAAACATCTGCTCTGTACCCATCTGTCCTGGTTTCGGTAGGGATAGAGTTAATTTCCTTCCTAGTAGCTGGTACAGTGTTTTGGATTTAGGATGAGAACAAAGTTGATAACACACCGATGTTTTAGTTGTTGCTAGGTAATGCTTACACTAGCCAAGGACTTTTTAGTTTTCCATGCTCTATCGACTGAGAAGGCTGGAGGTGCACAAGAAGCTGGGAGGGGGCACAGCCAAACTGAGCAAAGGGACATTCCATACCATGTGACGTCATGCTCAGTACATAAACTGGGGAAAGCTGGCCGGGGGGGCCGCTGCTCGGGGACTGGCTGGGCAATCGGTCGGCAGGTGGTGGGCAATTGTACTGTGCATCACTTGCTTTGTGTATTATTATTATTATCATATTATTATTATCAATTTATTTCAATTATTAAACTGTTTTTATCCCAACCCACGAG